TAAGCCTGGTGGTCACGCTCCACCCCAACCCACTCCACGTGCTGGAGATGACGGCCACGGTGTGGAGCAACCGCCACCTGCCCCCGGGCGCCGTTTTCTACCCCGACGAAGGGGAGGTCCGGCTGGATCGGCTGGAGACGAGGGCGGTCATCCGAGACGACGATGTGAGTACGAACCTGTGAGGAATGAAAAGGAGTTGTCTGGTTTCTTGTTGGTTCATTTTCTCTAAATGTTGTTACGACCTTATTACTAATTACCTTTCTTATCAAGAATTCTTATTACCCTACTTATGAACCATTAATTTTTTTTTAAAATAATAGTTCTATAATTTAACAATTTATTTTAATAAAAAGTTTCAAAAGAAGCTTTTGTTCAGATACGAGTAAGGGAAATAGCCATGATAGAACTCGGCTGAACCAAGATTGCCTCTATACTAAGATCTCTCCCTACAACGGCATATTCAAATGACTACATTTTATCACAGTGGTTATCGCGTCTCAGTATTTTAATTTGAAACATCACTAAGGCACTTTATATTTGCTTTTTTTTTTTTTTAAATTCATTTCCAAAACTTATTAATATACCAAGCGGATATCCGACTTCAATATCCACCCCTTCCGTACCCATCCGCCGAAACCACACACAGACTTTTTTTGGACAAAAAAAAACCCCTATGTGACAAGATACTTTATTGAATAAGATAATAACTTAATTAATTAATTAGATTTGACGAAAACATATTTTTTTTTGTTTGTTTACAAGACTGCAGCTAGTATTGGACGAAGTTAGACACTATGTTACTGTTACCAGTTTAAAGCTAAATGTGAGGAAAAGATGCTATGTTCACATGACCGAGAAAAGATTCGATGAGAAAATTTAAATCATAAAAACTATCAGGAAACGAAATAAAATAATATATATATATATCAGATTTAAATATTTCACACAAGACACTCATTTTTTTTTAAACTCTGGAGAAGGACAATCAATTTACCGAGACTGAGATCTCTGCTCCTTAAAAATGGCCTCCTTATTTCATCCTCAACCCTCCCAAGCCTCTCAAAATCTGGAATTTGACTAAGTACTCTGCCAGACCACCCATTGAGCCGAAGCTTTGCCCCCCCCCTCCCTCCCCTAAAATACGCAAACATCGCTGCGAGTCGACCACCGTCCATCGCCCTTCAGTCTGGCACGCGCGCAGGTCATCTGGGATCGCCACTGTGACGCAATGCCGGTAGCCGAGCGTGATGGTACGAACAGGTCCGCGCTTTTCCCGCCTTTCCCCTCCCCCCCTCCTCCCCCAGCGGACGCGTAACCCTGTGGATTTAGATCCAATCTGTGTACACGGTGGCAGCCATAATGGACCACGTGGTAAAGGGGCAACAATTCCTGCGGGTAATTTTTCGTCGTCCCCACGGGTTGTCTCGTCAGCTTTTAGTTTACATTTCAAGGGTAGCGCACTGATGGCGAGCGAAGGGAGCTTCAGATGGTTACTCTGGTTGAGCCCTGCTCCCCGAGTGGGGAATATCCTAGGAGTCGTGGCATGTCTTTAATGTTCGTAAGACTCCCCGGTTCCCGGATTGTTAATGCACAGTAGTCCCTGGGAGGGACGGGTGGCCAGAGAATCTTAACTGTTGGCGAGAGGTGGCCAGAGAAATTTTAACTGTAACTTTTCGGATAACAATTAATGGAAAGAGAGGGCACTTATCCTAATCCTTGACTCGGTGGGCATTAAAGCGTGGTGCCCGATTCGACATTCATAAAGGGAGCACCGACTGGACATTCACTTTGGTGCCCAAGTCTAGATTTTTCCGCAGATATATTCCGAGTCCAAACTTAAAGCTTGTTAAGTCTTGGTGTCCGTTTGTCTTAACTGCCTCTTAAAGCGGACTTTCCGAGATGACATGTTTATTAATAGGCACTAATGGGTGCACTCACACCAGATGCGGTGGCCATCACTTTTCTCCAGTCATCGCAATGAAATGTGTAACAACAAGAATTTAATGAAAGATGATATGTATATATATATATATATATATATAATACCGGTAATTTAAAATAATTATTAAAATTCATCATTTAAATTCATCTATAAAGAGCAACAGACTGACTTTAGTCGAAGTCGAACAGCCCATATCGACAATTTGAACTGCTCTATAGAGTGAATAAATATTCCAAGAAAACTTAATAGTATAATTCTATCTATACTCACTGTTCATGATATAGATATTTTGTATTAAAATAAAGTGGTTGGGTACTGTTGGTTTTTGGGGGGTTATTAAATGTTTGCTAACAATTTGTATTGGTGAACAGCTCTTAACACGGAAAATCTATTAATAAATTAACTCAGAACCATAATTCGCGTTCATTCACAAAGGTTTTATGATAACTTAAAAGTCTAAAATAATAGTGGTTCTCAAAACAAAATTTTCCAGGTGACAATGCTCCACCATTTAGAATTTTAGTTTGAATTACCTTGTCATTGTCTCTCAGCACATTTTGCTATGACTCACTACACACCTCATAGCTTAACATTAGTTTGGACACTGATATATATTTTTCGTTGCTGATATGTTTTTCAGAAACATTCTTAAATTTGGTGACATTACATTACCCTCGTAATGGAATGTTTACAATAATAAATTGACCACTATTAAATCATGTCTCTTTTCTCCCCGTGCGCGTCGTCTTCAGATCCGCCGCGTCTACGGTTGCTACGACACCATCATGAACATCAACGGCCAGGAAGTGCGTCACTGCAACTGGGTGCGGTTCGTCAAAATGACCAGCGACCCGGACTCTGCCAACGTCATCAGCTCAAAGGTCAAAGGGCATCCGTTTTACCAGGTGATTCGCTCCATCAAACCGAACGAAGAGCTGGTCGTTCTCTTCCACGTGAGCTCAGAGCGGTCAGCCTACGACGGCGTGCCTCCTTCCACCCAGCACTCCCCGGGGTTCCTGCACCCCTACGCAGGACCCCCGCAGTTGTCTCCGGGCATCCTCCACCGGCCGTCGCTGCACGACATCCACATGTCCATGCTGCTGCGTCACAGCCAGCAGAGTAGCGCCGAGATCCTGACCTCCACGCCCGTTTCCATGGTGATGTCGAAGTGCGAGAGGCAGTCGCGGGCGCAGCTGGACGAGACCAAGAGGAGATCCTTGCTGACGACGTCGTCTTCCTCTTCGTCGTTCACGTCACCGATGGCTGAGACGCCCAAACACTCCTACCGCAAGAGGGATGTACCGCAAGAGTCGAGCTGCTCTTCGCCCATGCTGACGCCGTCCGGGTCTTCAAGGGAGACCAGCGCCAGCGACGAGCAGCTGGGGCCAGTCGTCGCTTCCCTCACTACAAAGGAGCTCGAAGGGAGCGACCGTTCTAGCTCCGACAAATCGTTCAGAGATCCCTTTACGGAAACATCAGCCAGTGTACATAAAAAATCCTTCGACACCCCCAAAAACGACATTCCAGGTGACGTGATTAGCTTTGCGGCAAAAGTCGACCCACCAAACGAAAAAAAGACAAGCTGTGTAGACAACGACAACGGTATGGTCGAGGAGTGTCTCGTCAAACAGGAAGCAGAAGACGTGCACGAGAAACGCGAGGAGTCCTCAGACGATGTCGGTATGGATGCCACAACCGGAAGGGATGATGTCGAAGATGTCAAGGATGTCGAGGCTGGCGTTGACGGCAAGAGAACAGAATCAGTCGGTAAGTGCATAGTAATATTGAGATTCTCATTCCCTTTTATACAAGCTTTTTAAGAAGACATAAAAAAAGTATTCAAGTCTTTCATAATTGTTTTTAGAAAATATGAAGATTACGCATTACGATGATAAGTTTCAAAATATTGTTTTCCGCAATTTTTTCTAATAGTACCGGTACAATAACTTGAATGACATCTGAATTTGAATACAAAGTTCTTGAATTTCTTTTTTTTCCGATGTTTTTTTTTGTCCCAGCCTTTCATTTAAAATATTCATTTATTTTACACATTGCGATTTGTTGTTTCTTTTTTATCTTTTGATTTACGAGGTAAGTTAATATTTTCCATGCATCTTAGATTCTCCTGTTTGATTAATCTTGCACAGGACATTATATTATTTTCTTTATTAGTTAAATCTTGGATGGCATAGGAAATTATCATATATTCTCTATTTGCCTACTCTTGTAGAGGACACACCGAAGCTGCCCAGACAAGGTCAAGGCAGGCCGAGCCGCCTGTACAAAGGGGTCGCCGTCTCTGACAACTGCATCACGAGTAGCACCACCCAACCAGGGGCGTGCCTAGCTAAAATTTCGCCCTACTCGGAGGAATCCTCCCCCCACTGCGGCACCCCGTCCAGCATGAGAGATCCGCCGCCCTCGTCGTCGTTGGTACACCCCAAAGAAGACGAGCGCACCACCGCCGACGATGATGTCTCCCCAAAAAAGTCTTACAGGGTCACGTCGACGGAGACACTCGGCCAGCCGAGGGTTGTGTCACGCTTCGTTGACTTCAACCCGAGCCAAAACTTTGGCACCGTTCAGGATTTGAACCGTCTTCTCATCAAGGTAAGGCTCTGGATCTCGAATCTACACCGCCGCACATCCGCTCTGCTCCACACATACGCTATTCAAGATCTACGCCACACTATACCCACACCACACCATATCCAGACCGCAATATGTACGCACTAGGACATATCCATGCCCGTCCACATCCACGTTACCAAAATCTCTTGCAATCCACATACATTATTATAATGTAATAGGATTTGTAATAATTTTTTAGTATCAAATGAACCTTCTTGAAGCTCTATCATTGGTAGAGTGTTTTCTGTGTTAAATTACCTGACATGTTATGTCAACAACAACAAAACAACAACAAACCAACCATGGTATAAGTACAAGCATGCCCAAAAAAACCGTATTCTTTTCCACCATGGTTTAGAGGCCAGCAAGCCCTCAAAGTCCGCACTCATTGGACGTCGACGTGGTCGCGCAGAACGACAGCCAATCGATGAAACGCTGCCGCGAGCGGACCTGGTGGCCCTGCGACGTGTGCGGCAAGAGGTTTGACCGGCCCTCACTGCTGAAACGCCACACGCGCACGCACACTGGTGAGTCGGATGAAAGCCGTGGCCTTAACTGACCAATCAGTTTATTCTCTTCTATGTGGCAACATTGTTTTTGGTGTGTTTTTTTTTGGGGGGGGGGGGGGGGTTTAAAAAAAAAAATTATTTTTTTTTTTTTATTTTTTTTTTTTTATTCTCTTCTATGTGGCAACATTGTTTTTGGTGTGTTTTTTTTTGGGGGGGGGGGGCTTTAAAAAAAAAAGTTAATTTTTGTTTTATAATTTTTTTTTTTACTAAAGTGATAATACATATTCAAGGACAGGATCCAGATGCGTCTTAGACTCTGAAGCAAATTTCGGATGACTTGTAACGTCCTATAAACATTTTTTCTTGTTATTTTAAAGGGTTTAAGAAACATATCTGTTAAAATTCAGAGGAGATTAACTAGCCGAAACTTCTTAAATGTATGCTGAAATGCTGCCGAATATGTTGTGTTTAAAAGAAAATACAACAGCTTTCCTTTGGCAAAATGTACTTAATGCGTGGCCCTTCTGGCTACTCACATAATAAACAAATGTAACGTATACACATTATGTGTTCTTCATGTATTGGCATAGATTTTTTTATGTGCATTTTCAACCGTTTCAACCAGGTGAGAAGCCCCATGCCTGTGACGTGTGCGGCAAAGCCTTCTCCACGTCGTCATCCCTGAACACCCACAGGCGGATCCACTCGGGGGAGAAGCCCCACCAGTGCAAGATCTGCGGGAAGCGTTTCACGGCCAGCTCCAACCTCTACTACCACAGGATGACGCACAACAAGGTGAGACAACCCTTGCTGTTGTTGCGGTTCAGCTTACTGTTTGTGATTTTTGCATTTGCGGCCCAATTTTTTTAAGGACATCGTCTTCGCATGGTGTGTGGACCATGTGTTGGAAAAGCCTAATGATGGTCCATATACTATAGAGAGATAAAGAAAGCGAATTAAAGAAATACAGAGAAAGAAAGAGAGAGAAAGAGAGAGAGAGAGAGAGAGACAGAGAGAGAAAACGAACACTTTTTCAAAACTATGAAATTTCTAAATGATGGAACAATCCATGTATCGGGTTTAAATCCACGATTTCGAAAAGGATGTTCAAGAAGTGTTCATCTTCCATCGCCCTGCTGCACCTAATAAATGCAGATTGGAAAATGGATACACGCCAGTATGCGCTAATTATAGATTTGGTATCGTGGGAAGATATAAAAGTTCAAGACATTCGATTTGATCGTGTATTTAAGAAGATTGAACTCCATCATTTTATTTGTTCTTGATTTTTTTTAAATTGTTAAATTAAACCCTTTGGGGCTGGGGTGTAAAGGGCAATGAGTGGTTAGAGTGGGGGTGTGGGTGTGGCGGGTGGTACGTGACGGACGTGCAACTACAAGAACAGCTCACATATTTGTCTGTTGTGTTGGATTCACTTTTTTTGTATCATATCGTAATGCAATACAATCCTGCTCATTTTTCCCCTCTCAGGAGAAGCCCCACAAATGTGACCTCTGCTCCAAGTCCTTCCCCACCCCGGGTGACCTGCGGTCCCACATGTACATCCACAACGGGTCGTGGCCGTACCGCTGTGAGGTGTGTGGCAGGGGCTTCAGCAAGCAGACGAACCTCAAGAACCACATGCTGTTGCATTCAGGTGACTGGTTTCTTTCATGCACCTGAACGTCTCATGTATTGTCATCTCTATTGGCTTCTTAAACATGGCGTAATAAGTTTTAGTGTGGTTAAAAATTGGGTGATCTCCCTTTGTCACCACAGTACATGATATATTTATTACTCAACGATGTATATCTGAATATCGTTTATTTAGATGGTATTTATTTGAAACATAACTGAAGATGGTGCCGCCCCCAGTGGCCAGCCGGGGCGGGCCTATCCTTTTGTCGCCCCCCCCCCCTTCACGCAATTTTTTTTTTCAATGCAACGAAAATGGGCCGAAAATGCCGCCCTATATTACGACTATACATATAAAGAAAAAAGTCCGCACCCTTTTTTTCTACGCCCCCGACTGCATTCCTTAATATCATTCTTTCGATGTCCATCATCTTTACAACTTTCTTTCATTGTCCCCCTCCCTGGGTCTCACCTATTTCATAAAACAAAACAATAACTCTTTACTACATTATTTATCTCTTCCTCTCTCTTTCTCTCTCTTTCTCTCTCTTTCTCTCTCTTTCTCTCTCTCTCTCTCTCTTTCTCTCTCTTTCTCTCTCTTCCCCCTACACGGCCCTAATATCAAAATAGAAATATTATATATATATTTTTGTTTACCATGGCTTCCCCCTTTTCTGTCCAGGCGACAAGCCCCACGACTGCCCGAGGTGTGGGAAAAAGTTCGCCCTGCTGTGCAACCTAAAGACACACATGAAGACTCATGAGAGTAAGTCACCATGACGTGGACACATTATTTATTATTTTAGGACACTAGGTGTTCAACTTGTTAACAACGGAAGCTTTTATTAGTTTCAAAAATCCACTAGAGTTAGAGAGCTAGCTAAATTTAGGTTTATTTAGGTTTATATTATATCACCACTTCTCAAAAATTACATTGAAAATCACTCTTAGTAAATCCGAGCACAGTCAGTGGGGCGCGAAAGGATTTTTATGGGGGTTGGATGCAAACCTTTAAGTTAAGTTTTTATAACTATTTAATATTTGTTTCACATCGATTTGTTAATTCAAATTTTAATAATCATTCCAAATGAAACATATAGTTATGGAGTGCTCTCTTACCCTATTGATTATTTTTCTAATGTTTCGAGGGTCAAGGTTCACTTTGCTTCTCTTAATTTGGTTCGGGACACTTGAAAATGTTTTTGATAATTAATGCTAACACCATATCCCTCACTATGTTTTCTCCCTTTCAGACTCTGACTCCAGCGACTGCACAGAGTGCATGAAGTGTGGCACTGTCCTAGAGCACCCCGATGACATCGTCAATGGCGCCTGCAGGAGCTGCTCTCACAAGACGTCCGGCGCGCAGGGCGTCACCAAACCATCGTTTCAGCCGGTTCAAAAGCGGGGTGGCCACACCGACTTCAGCATCTCCAAGCTGACATCGACCGAGGGCACCAGATCCGGTGAAGCCCTCAGAGGCGGCGGGGTCAGCGCTTCTGACTCGGCCGTCAGCAGATTATCTCCGTCCTCGTCGTCGTCTCCTGTGTTTATGACATCGCCCGGCTTCCTCCACCATCAGCAGCAGCTCCCGTTGATGTACAGGCAGTTCTTCGCACCGTCTGACCAGCAGCCCGGGAACTGGTTTCTTCCCCTGACGTCTCATCTGATGGCGTCTCCAAGCACGCCCTTGGACCTCAAGGCTGCCGGGGGTTATCATCTTACAGGAGGCCTACCCTCCAACCATCCTTTCCTTGCCGCCAACAAGCTGGGCTCTTCCGGCCACCATCACGTCCTCCCATCATTCCTCACGCCGGAAATGATGTCCATGAGAAACGGAAGCCTATTTTCCCCTGCCGTGACGTCTTCCTTATCCCCTGGGTTTCCCCTGAACCAGGCCCCTGCACTGTGGAATGGCCAGACGATAACACAGGGATTCTGAAAACAATAATTCTATTTGAGTTTTATAGTGTGCTTGCTACTGCTTATTTACCTGGTCTTTCAACAATACCGATCTGCCTTGCCATTTTGTCCAGCGATTTTGACTTGCTAACGCAAGTCGCATTTTTTGTGTGCGAACATTCATTTTGTGATGCCATTTATATACTATTTATATCTGCTCGTTACCTGCAGAGCATCCAAGACCTGCAGCACTGCAGCTCACGTCTGCTGACTTAATGTGTTATGAAATCTTTGATTGTAGTAGAGGCCATCAACGATTGTGTGATGTGATTGTGATCTTACCACTGATTCGCACCGCACAAGGAAATATGACATGGAATGGTCAGTTGATTCCAGAGAACACACATCCCAACGCTGCGAATCAGGGCTGCCTTAAAGCTCATAGGTCACTCATGGGTGTCTGTCATCACCTGTGGTTTGTCCTCAACATTGTAGTGATGTCGTTAAACTGTATTTCTCACAGAGTTAAACCTATGTAGTTTAACTTTATGTGTCCTACAGATACAGTTAAACGGTAACAGTAGCCGCTCTACAGAATGAGGTGTTAAACTGTGCACGCACCCTACCATGGATTAAAATTATGTTAAACCACGATTGAGAATGTTTAGCAAGTAATTTCCTTAATTTTGCTGCATTTTACCAGCAAATTTCGCATTGTTCGAAAAATAACTGTCTTTGTCATCTTGGTTTCCTCATGAACTTTGTTTGGCTGACGATTAGTGTGTACGGTACCGTGATCGGTATGGCTTCAGATGTTCCAAGGTACTTTTTGCTGTTGTTGTATCTCTTACACTTGTTTGGTTAGTGTCATTCATTTGACTTTTTTTGTACCAAAATCAATTGTGAGTGAAAACATTACAATTTCAACATTTTATTTATCTCATTGGTTTGTCCTGAACAATGTTAACACCTTGTATTTTGTACCGTTTTTGTTCTTGGTTTTTTTTTTTTTTTTTGGTTGTTTTTTTCAATTTTTTAAATTATTTTTTTTTTTTGATTAAAAAATTTCTAACCCGTAATATTGCAATAAAGATGTAATTATTTTTTTTTNTGCCTTATTTAATTACTTACATGTGATTGTTCTTCTTTCATGTTCCACCTAAGTCTTATGTGTAATCTGGCCGGTAATCTCTTAATCTTATTTAACTCTGCACCACCAGCGTCATAAAGAGGGGAGCAACAAATACTGGTGTCTAATGAAATGTATGTGTTCGTGATATAGGTGAATGTGAAATGTCATGTGTTTGTAATGAAATGAATGGGAAAATGTCTGTTTGTCATGAAGTGAATGTGAAATGGCATGTGTTTGTAATGAAGTGAATGGGAAAATGTCTGTGTTTGTAATGAAGTGAATGGGAAATGTCTGTGTTTGTAATGAAGTGAATGGGACATGTCTGTGTTAATAATAGAAGTGAATATGAAATGTCTGTTTGCAAGAGAAGTGAATATGAAATGTCTGTTTGCAAGAGAAGTGAATATGAAATGTCTGTTTGCAAGAGAAGTGAATATGAAATGTCTATAGAAGTGAATGTGCATCTCATTTCTGAATGGTCGGTGGCATGTCTAGGGTTAGTTGCCACCCAAACAACCCCCCCCCCCCCAATCCCACCTCATTTTCCACTAAAAAAAAAAACCCTTTGCAGAACGAAATTCCCTCCTGTTACATATAAAAGAGCTGCCCCCGGGGCGTACCGTCCTCTCCTCACTCCCCTAACAACATCAGCGCGAAGGGTTGATCACACGTTGAATCTAATGGAGGTATAGAGAAGACATAGGTACCGGTCCAGATTTTTCTCTGATGTGATGTAAATTTACTCAACAACATTCATGTTTTTAAATGCTACTTTAATGGCTATGAAACATATCACGGCGTTTTGAGCCAGTAAAAAAAATATAAAAATTTACAAACAAGTGTTCATCCCCATTTTGTAGATTTACCCAGCCACATAGAGTTAACTAACTCGGTGACGGTATTCAAATTAAAAACAAATAATATTAAAAAATGAATAACAAAATATATTCCGGTAATTAATAACAAAAAATGCATATACTTATCTACATACACACGCTGGTCTAATTCGATTGGTTGTGCCATAAAGTCACACATCAATTGTACTTGTGCGATTATGTTTAGGTTAGGCCAAAAAGCTCTAAAAAATTATACTTGTATGATTATATTTAGGTTAAGCCAAAAAGTCACAGAAAAAATATACTTGTGTGATTATGTTTAGGTTAGGCCAAAAAGTCACAGACAAAATATACTTGTGTGATTATGTTTAGGTTAGGCCAAAAAGTCACAGACAAAATATACTTATGTGATTTGTTTAGGTTAGGCCAAAAAGTCACAGACAAAATATACTTATGTGATTATGTTTAGGTTAAGCCAAAAAGTCACAGACAAAATATACTTATGTGATTATGTTTAGGTTAGGCCAAAAAGTCACAGACAAAATATACTTATGTGATTATGTTTAGGTTAAGCCAAAAAGTCACAGACAAAATATACTTATGTGATTATGTTTAGGTTAGGCCAAAAAGTCACAGACAAAATATACTTGAGTGATTATGTTTAGGTTAAGCCAAAAAGTCACAAACAAAATATACTTATGTGATTATGTTTTGGTTAGGCCAAAAAGTCACAGAAAAAATATACGTGTGTGATTTGTTTAGGTTAGGTCAAAAAGTCACAGACAAAATATACTTGAGTGATTATGTTTAGGTTAAGCCAAAAAGTCACAAACAAAATATACTTATGTGATTATGTTTAGGTTAGGCCAAAAAGTCACAGAAAAAATATACGTGTGTGATTTGTTTAGGTTAGGTCAAAAAGTCACAGACAAAATATACTAATGTGATTATGTTTAGGTTAAGCCAAAAAGTCACAGACAAAATATACTTATGTGATTATGTTTAGGTTAGGCCAAAACGTCACAGACAAAATATACTTATGTGATTATGTTTAGGTTAGGCCAAAAAGTCACAGACAAAATATACTTGAGTGATTATGTTTAGGTTAGGCCAAAAAGTCACAGACAAAATATACTTTGAGTGATTATGTTTAGTTTAGGCCAACAAGCTCAATCAAATGTTACTTGTCTGTATAAATTAGGCAACCTAAGAAAAATCACCAAATTACTCCCTTCCAATTGTCCGATTGTGCAGTAGATGAACTTAAAAGTAAAAGAACATGAAGGGTTTGATTCTGATTATTTATGTTATGTGCTACTTCTGACTTTAATGTCTATGCTATGAACTTCTGTCCTCCTACTTTGTCATGTCCTTCTATCCTCTAATTATGTCTTGTCCTTCTCTTAATAGGAGTCCTATCATCTAATTCCACCATGTTCTATGTCCATGTAACCCTGCCAGATTATGTCATCCAACTCTGTCATTTCCTACTTATCTAATCTTACCCATCTCATGTCCTACTTCTGTCATATATAAGCCTTGTCGTGTCCTACTTCTGTCATCTAAACCTGTCACACTTTTCTTCAGCCCTTACTCTGAGGTCTCCTGTCCTCCTGCCATGGATGGCTCTCTCCCCCCCCTCCCCATTTCGTAACCCAATTTCGCTCCATATTTCCCCCCGCGCTCCATGACAAGCACTTCAAACGCCCTCCCCCCCTTTACCCCTTGGCACCCCAGCACCCCACACAGATCACGTCTACCGAACAACGCTGCACCCACCGGTATCACCAAATCCCTTGACAGGTATCGTTCAGACCGCATCTGCAACAACTTCACCCCCTTTCTGGCTTAATCTAGCAAGAAATCTCGCTCGGACGCACCCTTAAAAAAAGACTGCTCTTCAAAGCAGC